ATTAGTTCATTAGTTGCTTGATTAGAATCATTGTTGTATTCATGGAGGTAAGGTTGTTTGTCCCCCTCTTCTCTTTGTATTTGTTGTTTTATTAATAAATTCATATCCTACGGCTTGGATTTTCAAGTTAGGATATTTTACCAAAAAAATAAAAATAAAACAAAATAAGAGAGAAAAATGTATTTTGAAAATAATGGGGACCAAAGTGAGGAAGTGTCGGTATCTATTTGTTATAAATTAAATATTGTTTGTGAATGAGTGCAATTCTATTACATCTAATATGCGATATTGGTTCTCAATAAGATATATGCTTGAGTTTTGACTCTCTTTGGTCTCATTCTTTTAATTTTTGTTTTCTTTTTGTTTTATAGTGCGTTATGAGCAAGCATTTCTATCAAGTTAAGATAAGAATAATAAATTTTCTTTCCATTCAAAGAAAGGTAAGTTCTAGTTAGTTGAATTTACAAACTCTTATTTACTTTTCTTTTATTGGTTCCATATTTGTTGAATGAAAGATCTTCTTTGTAAAGAGATTCAATTCAGAACTTTTATACGTCCAAGGTTCAATACGGAAATAATTTCGGAAGTTTTCCCAGACTTTATCCGTGGTGTTGAGACGCCATGCTAGCGACTTCACTCCTAGGCTCTAACTCCAACGTCCAAGCCTCCAAGCTATTTAGTTAATAGTATGGACTTAGTTAAGGTAAATAAATCCTTTGAGTTTATAGATTAGTTAAGAAAAATTTAATGAATATTGGAGCAGTTTATCTCAGCTCATGTACTTGTTGCACCTGATTAGGACTTGCTTTTTAAGCTGATGTGTGAAGCAAGGAACTATGCAATTGGAGCAATTTTCGATGAGCGCAAAAATAAAATCTCACATGTGATTCACCACACCAGCAAGACTCTTGTTGATTTTGACAAATTCAGGTAGAAAATCATCTATCTCGTCTGAAGTCATAGGAACGTGATCCTACAAATAAAATAAATAAAGTTTTTCCACCACTTCTACAAATTGGGACATCACCTTGGTACAACAGAACTAACTAGGTAATTCACGTAATTTACATACCAAGGTGATGTCTCAATTTGTAGAAGTGTCTTAAATGGAAATACTTCAATTATTTCATCTGTAGATCTTGTTCCAAGCGAGATAAATGATATGCTACCATGGTCTCGCACCCCTTATTATCAATAGATTATCTGCTACCAAGTTCTCATACTCATTTTATTCCTAATTTCTAAGTTAAACTATTGTAATAGAAGTATTCGTCTGATGAGTTTTGGCTTCACATCTTTCTTATTCAACAAGTACCATAGCCTTGCATAATCTGTGTATACAATAACCTTCGACCTAATCAAGACCTAAATTTGTCAAAAGCATATACTACTGTCAAAAGCTCTTTTTCTGTAATAGTGCAGTTCAACTGAGCCTCAACAAGAGTATTACTGACACAGTGAATCACATATGAAATTTTATTCTTGCGTTGACCTGAAACTGCTCCAACTGTATGGTCACTTACATCACACATCGGCTCAAAACACAAATCCCAATCAGTTGCAACAAGTACATTGTTGAGACCAACTGTTCTTTAAGGGTGTTGAATGCAGTCAAACACTCTTCAGAAAAATGAAAAGAACCATCATTTTCCACTAAGCTGCAAAGAGGTTTGGTGATTTTTTAGAAGTGCTTGATGAAACGCCTATAGAAACCATGTCCCAATAAACTTCTCATCCCTTCCGCTAAAGTTGGTGAAGATAGTCTCTCTTATCACTTGTACCTTAGCCCGATCGACTTCAATACCCATAGCAAAAATCAAGTGTCCCAAGACAATCTCTTCTAGAAACATGAAGTGACACCAATTAAGTACGAGGTCGGTTTCTTCACATCGTTGCAACACTGACCCCAAGTGATCAAGCATTCATTAAATGATGATCCAAATATTGAGAAATAGATTAGATGAGAGTAAAAGATAAACATAAGATACAAATATAGAAACATAATGGTCAGCATGGTATGAAAAAAGGATCTAGGGACGCGCCTCAATTGGAGGCGTACGACAGGTGCCTCGGGGCGTGAAATCCAAGGCTAATCTCGAGAGGCGTGTGCCTTAATTGAATTTGATGCACGCCTCTTGTACGCCTCAGAAGTCAGACCTGGCCCTTTTGCTTTTATTCTATTAAAAACTGGGCCCAAAAAGTTAGAAAATGCCAAGTCTTCCTCTACTTTAATAGTACTACAAAACCTACCTGCAGACCTATATAAATATATTATTATTATTATTGACCTAAGTCACCTAACACAAGAAAAATACAGAAAAAGCTATTTTCTCTCGGACTTTACTGCAAGATAGCCGTTTCCTCTCAGACTACTGCAACTGTTAAAGGCTGTTGGCTGCAATTATTCCGGCGACTGAAAAAATTATCTCCGACAGGTATGTACTGTAGCCGACCAATTACAGATTGTTCTATATAATATAATATGGTGAACAATATAATATAATATAATATGGTGGGAAGTCTCTTTCCAAATTAAAGTCAAATAGTTATATTAATATATATTTATAAAGTCTACAAATTACAATGCTTGCCAATCATTCGGTTAATCAATTGCAAGTTGCCATCAATGTTCCCACATGTTGATCTATTTATACTGAAAATTTAACAAATTATGATTGCACAATTTTTTGTCTGTGAGCGTGGATGTGTGGAGATAGATTAGAAATTGTTCATGCTGCTCTTTAGTATTGAGAATTACATAACTGATGACTGTGTACTGCATTTCTTTTCCTCATTAATATTATACAAGCAAAATTTTCTTTCATAATTTTTTTAATAACTTGTAGGATGGGAAAGAGCAATAGAAAAGATCCAGCTTGGAAATATGGAAAGGAAGTCGTAAGTTTGGGAGATGAGAAGAAGAACTATCTTTATATTGAATGCCAGTTTTGCAAGAAAACAATTATAGGAGGGGTCAAGCGTATGAAAGAACATTTAGCATGCACATATAAGAATGTAGCTCCATATCCCAATGTTCTTGAACATGTCAAAAAAGAGATCGAAAATTATATGAAGACAGGAACCACGAAAAAACACCTTTCACAACAACAATTTGATAATATGGTACACCTTCGTAATTACTATGAGGGAGATGACAATAATAAAGCGCAAGATTCTACGAGAGGCATAGGGGACCAATGGATAGATATATTACAAATATTGATGATGAGGAAGAAACAGACAAACTCCAAAGATGACTCCGAAAGAGCTAAGCAGTAAAATCAACTTAGATGTTGGCGGATTCTTTTTCGAAAATGCATTACCCTTCAACGCCGTAGAATCTCCTTCATTCGTTAACATGTGTCGAGCTATTGGTTCATATGGCAGAGGTTTTAAGCCCCCTACTATGTATGAGCTACGCTCTTGGATCTTAAAAAAGGAATTGGAAACTACCGAAAATATAGTTGAAGATATAAAGAAGACGTGGAGCAAAACTGGAGTTTCTATTTTATCTGATGGTTGGTCTGACATGAGGAATAGAAGTTTCATTAATTTTCTAGTCAATAATC